TCCAAAGTTTCTGAGGGTAATGACTACTGTTCAGGTACGAAGGAGAGGAGAACGGACCGGCAATGCTCTGGAAGAGTCCCAGGGCCGCCACTGTGGTGTGGGAGAGGGGGGACGGGCTGCCGGCCGGTCCCCCTCCAGCTGGGAACACCGTGGGGAAGAAGATGTGTTTGGCTTTCCCACGAGGCTGACTTCACAGGCTGTGAGAGTTTCCTGGACAACTGAAGTCCCGAGTAAAGATTATCGGCCCTTGGTGTAAAACGCCGTCTAAAGATGATTTCCTCCTGAGCACAGCCTCCCGCAATCCGCTTTCCCAAACACAGAGACGTTTCTGAGTCAAGGGCCACCGAGGCGGCCGTGTTTTGTTTCTGCTATGTGATTAAAGAGAACATTAAGGTCCACGGTTTAAAACTACCAATTAAAAGAGGCCCTTTGAAAAAATCATGACTGTCTTAGGACTTGCTATTAGTTGACTGAATTCTTGGCACTAGTATCCCTGTTCATGGAAAGCTACCCAGAATTTTGTTTTAGTTATAAACCATTTTGATGAGGCACTGGGCACCATAAAATCTGGAAATGCGCTGGCAATAAATTAAGCAATTTGTGTGTGTGTGTGTGTGTGTGTGTGTGTGTGTGTTAAATTTGTTAAGCCTCCATGGTTTAATTGCTGTATTTGCTGAAGACACATCCCAATCTCACCATCAAGAATACTCAGTGCCATCAGAGGAAAAGACAGAAGCTTTAAGACTTTTCCCTTAATAAACTCCTGACTCCTATTTTTTAAACGCCAAAAACATTCCCGCATATCTAGAATTGATTATACTCTAAAAGGAGAGAGCACACACATATTAGTTATTCCGGATGCTGCAGACAAATTAAAGTTGATCTCTGCTTGTGGAGGCCCTAGACGTGGAAAGTAAATCACCTTCCTGGATGTAAGAGAATCCTGAAGGACAAACGGAGAAATACAGGGATGCTGGGTTCTATTTATTCCCTTTCTTCATTATATCTAAGGAAACTTCATCACACAGGTTTCTTGCTTATCATTCTCTTAGATTGAAAAAGTGGAGCTCCTGGAAGATGTCGGAGCCTCCTAATACTTTTTAGACTTTCATTTGCACATAAAACAGGACAAATGCCCCAGAATTCAATTAATGTTTCTTGCAAATCGGATAATCAGATTGCCTGGATTTCTATTACTGGAAGTCAAGACAAGTAACTCCGCTGTCGAGAGAAACTGGCCGTGCCTGACCCTTCCAGTCCTTGGCAGAATTCCACCCACCTCCTTTTTCGAAAACTCTCCAGTGGAATGTTTATCTCCTGAATAAATTTGTGGCCTGGATAATTTTTTATCAGAGGATCACAGGAGTTAAAGCACATCTCCGAGACGTTGCCTCAAATTGTTTTTTTTTTTTTTTGAGGGAGCCAGGTAATTGAAAGCAGGCCTCTAACCCGGCGAGCCCTTGATGGAAAACCCCTTCTCCGATATGAGCCGCTGAGCGGCGGCCTGTGGGCCTGTCTAGCACATCTCCAGGGCTGCTGCTGGTGCCCCTCCCCCGCACCCCGGCACGGGGCTGTTACAGCCTGGTGGGCAGAGAAGGCGCCTCGGTTCTGCACCGGAGCCGAGTTCAGGCCACTCTGAGTGTCATTACTCTGGTTCGTGCAAATACATAGAGTGCGGCGGGCCTCATCTGTCCCTGCAAAACGGCGCACGCACCACTCCGGGGAAGGGAGCGGAAAAAGTACAAGGATGGATTTATAGAGCCTCTTCTGCTCTCACTCGGAATACAAAAGACACAAGGAACAAACAACCACTACAAGCTCCGCGGCACTGAGGCTGACATGCCAATTAGTGCCGAGTCCCTGAACGCGGCCCGCCCGCCCGTCCCCACGGCGCGCCAAGAGAGAGAGAGACGGGCCGACTTCTCCCGGAGAACAGTCCCTTAAGGACGTTCTCCTCACGACATCTCCCAGAGTTTAATTCAGAAGGCCCCGAGGCCCATTTCCCACCGGGAGAAAAAGAAAGAAATAGAAGACTTAAGGAGAAGTGTGGAAATGAAACGTGGCCTTTTCCTCTTTATTTAAAAATAACAGAGAACTAACTTCAGGAAGGACCCTTGTCCGCTGGAGACTGGGCCTCTGGGACAAAGGACTCTCTGTGCCGGCTCAGGTGGGCGCCCAGGAAACGGGCGTAATGGGCGACTTCACACAAAGCCACCGACTGCTGCAGAAAGAGGGTTATTTCCCAAGTGTGGAACTTCTGACTGCGGCCAGAGCAGAGGATGGAGTCGTTTCACTGAGAGCCACAGGCCTGCACTCGCTCCTGCCCCCATCACTTCTTCCAGGGAGTTTAACGTGGAGGACACTCAATCATACTCTCACTTGATGCTCTTTTAATCAGCGGATGATCGCTAATTAGTTATCGCAGGACCAGAAAAACACTTATGTGACAGGAGAGTTCTGTGCAGCGCCGACGGTGGGCACTGGACACCTGCAAAGAGCTTATTTCAGTTTCTTGGAGAGGAATCGATACACACTTGGAGCTAATTAATGATTTCTCTCTTTCAGTCCCTAAACTTTTACAAAACAGCCGTGCGTCATCGGGGAGCCAAAGACGTTTCACAGATGGGGCTCCAGCTCAATTTCCTTGAAACTGAGCCTTTTTTTCCTAGTGAGAAGTAACAGCAGGGAACAGACGGAGCGTTGGATGACATCACCTGCCTCTTCAGCTCAGAGCCCAGAGTTTGCTCGGCAAAACGCAGGCTCCACCTTTAACGGTCATCTTTGCATTTCAGAAGCAAACACAATAAATGGAAACATCCCGCCTGCCTTCCCCGGGTCTGCATTATAGAGGCAACACTCTGCGGGGGGTGCTGCCAAGCATCAAAAGATACCACGGGGCCGGGCCGTGTCCACTGCTGATGCAGACCGATGGAGCAGGGCAGCCGGCGGCAGGAGACGCGCGAGGGAGAATGGTGTTGCGCCAACCAGACACCATCCGTCCTGTTCATCAAACATGAGGCAAAACCCAAACAGAGCCCTGCTCTGCGCCTGGAAAATGAGAAACCAGCAGCAAAGAGAAGAGAAAGGACGGGTCTGATCTGGGCCAGGGCACGGGGAAGAAAGGGGCACCCAGGTTCGGTCGAAGGACAGATGGGACGGCAGGAGGTAGTGAGGGCGGCAGCCGGCCGTGCCTGCGAGGAGGCAGTGACCTCTGTTTTCATTTGGTTGTCGTGGAGACAGAGGCCCAGCACAGGGGCGCCAAGGACAGGCCGGGGACGTGGCCACACGCAGGATAAAATGGAACCATCTTTCAGTGCTCGGGAGCGAGCCCTGGGGACCAGGTTTCCTCTCCCGGGCGCTGGGGAGGCGCAAGGTGCCGTGTGCGACGCCAGCACTCCCCCGCACCGCATCCTAGAGCCTCCAGAATAAACACTCCCGATGCAGTGGGAAAAGCGGACGCAGAGCTGACGTCATCTGAGTGCAGTAGCTTCCCCATTAAAATCCAGCCGCATCAAGGTGGGGGGAGGCGTGGGGGGGGGGGAACAACAGGAAGAAATGACTATTATTTCTACATAGTTTCAATGTTCAGTTAAGGACAGCTCTGGAAATATCACTTAGTTTCAAATGAAAGCAGTTACAGTTCCTCTTTAATCCTGAAAATTTCCTTCCCTTCCCTTCCAATACTGGAGCTGGAGGAGGACGGGGGAGGGGACGGACCAATTGGACCAGGAACAAATCTCACCAACTTCACTTCCGGGTCTTATTTTTAAATCCTATCAGGAACCTCACTCGGCTTCCTGAGGGGAAAGGGTGTTAACCCTGACCAGGAAGAGAGGAAGGAGCCAGGAAGCGCAGGGGACGCTCACCAGGCGGGCTCTGGAAGCAGCGGTGAGGCTGCTGCGGGCGCAGGGAGGAACGGACGTCTCCCGGACGCTCGCTCGCTCGCTCGGTAACTGGCTGGAGTCGGGGCTCGATCTTTCAGCCCCAGGCTCGGCAGGGCCCGCGAGGCCTGTCACAGCGGCCTGTGTCTCCATTACCGCTGCCAGGTGGGCTGCTCGGAGGGGGGGCGGGATGGCAACCGTGCGCTCCCCACGGACAGACGGAGACCTGGAGGGCGGCGGCCAGGGGGTGCCAGTGAAATGGAGGGTTTATTCACGTATTTACATAATTTATCATCTTTAAGCAATGGGCTCATAAATATAGACTACAACTTTACATATGCTAAGCTACAGATAATTGCTTTTGTCACCAAAATATTTGGGTTAAATTAGAAAAAAAAAAAGAACCTGACAGCATTTACACGTCTTTACTTTCTCTTTCTCTCTCCCTTTTTAAGAAACTATTGCTAACCAGTTTAAACAGATGCAATTCAGTTTCTCCCAGGCCGCCCTCCCTCCCTTCTTGATCATGAGAGCTTGTTACAAAAGGTGCCAATAATGTGTTTGGTGACACAGAGATGACAGGGTCAGAACGCAAACGGAGGGTGAGATACTCATCTGCTATTACTGCTGTTAATTTACCGATGTCTCCTGGGCTAATGTAGCAATGGAAATTGCTCTGGAGATGGTGGGGCTGAAACCATTTCCATCAGTCCTATAAGCAACCCATTTTAACTTCGGACGATAATTGCTACCTCTCCACTCAGGAGATCCCGCCCGTTTGAAATGATACAGTTCCCTGGAACGGTGGTGACAGGAAGCCCAGGAAATGACCATTCTCACCAGGTCTTCTCCAGAGAGCCTGAAAGTGCGAGTTTTCCCTTTACAAATATAACAGAACCTTGATTACAAACTGCTCAACAGTCGAATCATACCGTCCAGACAGTTCTACGTCCCTTTCCGGCAAGGTCAAAAGCCAGTGACGCGGGTGCTTTGCCCAGCAGTCTCTACAGAATGAAGTCCCCGGACGGGAATGTCCGGCTGCCGTCTTCAGGGAGGAGTCGGGGGTCAGCCTCCCTCCGAGAAACCCTCCTCGCGCCCATCACCCCTTCCTCACGGAGTCGGGGCGCAGGGCTGGGTCAGCAGCAGCTCCGCTTGGGCTCTGACGGCTGTCTCCGGAGCTTGAAGCCCTTCCCGCCAGACGCAGGGTTGGCATCCGAGGACGGGATCCTTCGACCTGCACCCGGCGAGAGAAGGGAAGGGTTGTTACTAGACACAAGAGTTTTGCAGAAGCGATGCAACAGGTTTCATTAAAAATGTTCCCCAAAGTGTAATAAACGTGAACTTTGGGATAAATCTTTTTTTTTTTTTTTTTTTGCTTTTTTGGGTCACATCTGGCGATGCAGAGTTTACTCCTGGCTCTGCGCTCAGGAGTTACTCCTGGCGGTGCTCGGGGACCCTATGGGATGCTGGGAATCGAACCTGGGTCAGCCACGTGCAAGGCCAATGCCCTACCTGCTGTGCTATCTCTCCAGCCCCTGGAGAAATCTTTGATACCCTGAAAGGCTTTACAGGTATACCCAGGGCTGTGCTCGACCGGCCGTGTGAGCCTCAGAGGTAGCCACACCGACCCTCACTGTCCGGGCCATGTTAGCCTCCAAACATGGACCTCACGAGGCATTTAGAAAAGACTTAGCAGGAAAGAGTCATGCTGGCGATGTTCCGGGCAGGCAACTCACAACACTCCCGGTGGCAGAGTCCACACATGCCCGTCTGGAGCCAGAGGCGCCTTCTCAGGCCCCACTGCAGGCGACAGGACGCCCCTCGCCCCTGTGTACAGCCCACATCGGCACGGCCCGGGGGGCTGGGCTGGCACGTACATTCTGGGGCACTCAGAAGGCAGAGATGGGACCTGCCGGCTCTCATGTCCTTTGTCGCTAGGCCCTGACTCTCCAGCAGAACGACGCTTGTGAGTCCACGCGGACAGACACGGCGTGTTACACACCTTCAATTGGACACCAGTGCACCCATGACGACATCTGAGCTGCCTGAAGACACACTAAGAATCACCTAAAAATTCATACCCCAGTGCCACTGATGCTTCCGGCCAGTGTCTGTCAGAAACAGGGCAGAAAGCACATCTGGCAACAGAGCATCGCGGGGACAGAGAGGACGGAGACTTGGGGAAAGGCAATCATCTCTCGGATGGGAGCCAAGAAGGGGCAAAAAAAAAGAAAGAAAGAAAAAGGGTGAAAAAAATCAGAAAGTACTAAATGCCTTTCAAGCTAGAGTGGTATCACAGCGGGTAGGGCGCTTGCCTTGTAAGAGGCTGACCAGGGTTCGATCCCCAGCATCCCATAGTCCTCTGAGCACCACCAGGAGTGATCCCTGAGTGCAGAGTCAGAAGTCTGAGCATTGCCAAGTAAGCCCTCACTCCCCCCCCCCCACACACGAAACCCCTAAAAACTCTCCTTCTTGCCAGTGCAGTCTGAGTACCAGGACGTCACATAAGGGACAGTGAATGGGACGCTGAGATGGCTCGGCAGGGGACGTGCAGCGGTGGAAGGAAGCCTGCGTGCTGTCGCTCTCTGCTCTGTTTGTCTGGGGGCCGCACCTGGTGGTGCTTGACCCTCACTCCTGGCGGGGTGCCGGGAACCGAGCCGGGCCACAGGTGCCCTGCGCGCTGTTGAATCTCTCCAGCCCCATATGCGGTCACTTGGGACAACTCCCCAGCACGGTCCCAAGCCCGGGGCGCTGTCCCTGCTCTGACACTGACACGACGAGAAGGAGCCCAGCGTACGGGCTCTCAACACAAGACATGGAGCCGAAGCCCACGGCGGAGCCAACGCAGAACGTCTTCAACACATAAAGCTCACACAGGGCCAAGTCAGCCGGAAGGGCCAGCGCTCGGGAAGGCTGTGCTCCGGGGGCCGGACATGCTGGGACCACCCGAGCCTGTGACGACCCCTTGGACTTCACCTCTCTGCGGAGCACTTTCTGTAAGCAGATCACTTCTGCCTGACAGGCATGCGCTGAACAATCTTACAGCAACGAAGAAACACAAACCCAGCTTGCCGTCTCTCCAGGTTTTTCTGCGCTTTATGAACTGACACTCTTTACTTTTTAGTCACAATGGATACGGACATACTCATTTTTTTTAATAGCAGAATTTTCATTGTTGGCATAGTTCACAACCTTCTCGTTTACAATACGCCTGGAAAGAATGCTTCAGACAGACAGTGGCAAGGCACACGTCTGGTGCACGTGAGCCCCTGGATTTGATCCCTGCCACTAACCAAAACAACAAAACAAAAACACAAAACCAAAAAGTGGTAACAACATATTCCTGATACCACACATGATATCACGCATAGAAATTTTGCCTCAACTGTGAAGCAAACTCCCAGCAGGCTTCACACTGCTTCTCAGGCAGGACGCACCAGATAACCTAGAGGGGCAAAGACGTCATGACTTCCACGGCCCAGGTGCGGGGCTAGCAGGCCACTGGCCACAGCAGCTGGCCAGCATGTGGGCTTGGCTAACCTGCAGCTTTTTGGAAAACAGCTGAACGCATGGCCAAATGTAACCAACAGCACAACTACATCAAACTCAGATCTCTGGTTCACTGAATCAAGCGCCAAATGCTCAAATAAAAATGTAAGAAAAATGAGAACCAGACCAGCAATTGGGCTGCCAGGGGCTTGATTCCCGGGGCCCGACCCTTTGCGGGGCCTGCACCTGCCAACGGCTGGGTTTGTTCCTCGGCTGCCTCATCCAGGCTGGCAACTGGGAGGCCGGGAAGCTCGGATCAGGGCCAGAGCCTCAGACCTGTACTTATCACCGAGCCACATTCCCGGCTGCCCACAGGGACCCCACGGAGGACATTCCCAGCTACTCAGGTCCTGGGATCCCTGCTGGGAGCTCATCGGCCATCACCCCCGGCACTCCGGAGAGGCTTTCCCTGCACACACACCCGCCCCCACCCCGTTCATGTGTGTGTGGGGGGGTCCTTATGTCTGTCCAGCTGAGCGGGCTGGGCCTGTCACGGGTACATTTGAATGACATGAATAAACATGGCGAGGGCTGCGGCAGCCCTGGAGGGGGTGGGGAGGGCTGGGGGAAGGGGGAGGGGGGAGGCGCCTCGCACCCACAGAGGATTGCCCATGCATTTCATTTCCCTTTATTTATTTGGTTCATTTTCAATGGCTTTGGAGAACTAATTGAAACACATTTAAAGCGAGCCGGCAGGAGAGGGCAGCTCCGGGACCCCAGTGCCCTGCGCATTATTCATTCAGCAGCACCCCCCCCCCAGCAATTACAGCGACAGGAAGACCGCTGTCACGGCACCCTCCGCACCCGACCCCCCCAGCGAGAGCAGAGGGGGAGGCCCCGCCAGACCATTGTCTGAGGCTGCTCGGCGCAGAGGAGACCCAGGAGGCACGGAGCTACTCACTGATTTCGATGAAGAGTTCGTTGATGTTGATGGCGTTCTTGGCGCTGGTCTCTACGAAGATGGCGTGGATGGAGTCCGCGTAGTCCTTGGCGTCGGCCTCCAGGACCTCTCTGGAAAGAAAGCAACTAAGCGACTCAGGAGCTGGGGCCACCCCCAGAGCCTGGCAATTACTTGTGCTTAATGAAGACAAAAGAGGTGACAACAGGCCCTGACCTGGGGCCCTCCCAGCCACAGGCCCCCCTCTTCCCAAACTGCTAGTAAGGGGCTCCAGGGGGGCGAGTGATGGTTTGGACCTGGATCCACAAGATGCTGAACACGGGCTCCACCTCTTGAAGCCTGGTCATGTATGATAATGCCCGGGGGTGGACGGACGGACACACACACACGCGCACACACACACGCACCTGGCACCTGCCAACCACACCTGTCTCTCCCTGACCTATGCGCTCCCAAAGCCTTCATTCCTAACTTCAGCGGAAACCTCCCAACTCCAACTCCATGACCAAGAGGAATTTCTCCATGCTGAGATGCTGAGATAAAATAAGAGCCAGTCTTTTTTTTTTTTTTTTTTTTTTTGCTTTCTGGGTCACACCCGGCGACGCTCAGGGGCTACTCCTGGCTCTGCACTCAGGAATCACTCCTGGCAGTGCTCGAGGGACCATACAGGATGCTGGGGATCGAACCCAGGTCAGCCGCGTGCGAGGCACACGCCCTCCCCGCTGTGCTGTTGCTCCAGCCCCAAGAGCCAGAGTCTTCTACGGGCCACGGCCCTGAGGGGAGGGGCCCACACTCGGCAGTGGCGTCGCTCCGAGGACTCACCTGACGTCGATGAGGTCACACTTATTCCCTGCAATGGCGACCACGATGTTGGGTGGGCCATGCTGCCGAAGTTCTTTCACCCAGTTCTTCAAGGTTGAAAACGTCTCCTGTAACACAGCAGAGGAAAGCGACTAGCAAGCTAAGCGACCCGGGGGGTCCGCGAGGGTCCCGAGAAAACGGCCGCCAGGCTTACCTCTTTCGTGATGTCATACACGATTATCGCTGCGGCCGACCCTCGGTAGTACATGGGCGCTAAGGCACGAAACTGCAGGGGAAGAGAAAGAGAACAGGGCCGGCCGTCACGTGGCGCTTCCGCGGACGTGCGGCCCACCAGCCCCGTCCAGAGGGCCGCTGCCTCCGAAGCCGAGGGAGTAACTCGACGCCTTCAGGCAAATGAACCCGTCAGCACCAAAGGCAAGAACTCTGCCCGGAACACCGGACTCTCTCGAAGATCAGTCTGGATACAGTCTGACAGGAGTAAGTACGGTGATGTGAACAACTGCTTCACCGAAGAAGGCTTTTTAACTGAACTCACTGCTATAATCCCCAAATCCATTTGCTCAATAGACTCTGACCTCCCAAACGATCAAGGAGATTAAAAAGAAAAAGAAAATGCTGCTCTCAGTGCTCCAGAGAAGGGGAAGGCCGCCCTGTAAGCAAGATGCCGATGGCCTCACTGAGGGACTCTGCGCCGGCCCCCATCACCAGCCCTGACGCCAGCTCAGCAGGCCGGGGAAGGAAAGCGAAGGTGGGGGAGGGAGGAGCCCGCCCACGCCAGGGGGAGCCGGGCCATCCTGAGGGGGAGACGCGCGCTCCTGTCCCAGACGGGGACTTTCCCCCCGCCTGACCCTGACCTGACTCCCCACACGCTGTGAGGCCCGTCCTCTCCTCCTGCCCTGCACAGGCACGGTGGGGAGCCGGGGGGTGGGGCATACACAACAAACAGGCACACACACACACACACACACACACACACACACACACACACTGGGTCTTTTCAGAGCCGAGCGCGACGCTGCTCCCCCGACCAGCTCCGTCCGAGCCCCGCAGCCCGCACACCACGAGGAACAAGAACTGAGAATGAAGGAGCAAGGGCTGAGCCCGGGCGGGGAACCAAGCGTCCACCCGGGACGGCTCACGAGCGACCGTGAGTCCTGTCTCCGTGCTGTAGCCCGGGGACGTGCTGGCAGGAAGGATGCTTTAGGGAAAAACGGGGTGCCAAGGAGAGCGCCCCCAAAACCGGGCACCCGTGCCTCTTTGGCACCCGGGGGCGGGGCCGTCTCGCGTGGGAGCTGAGTCCGGGTAGAGGAGCGACAGCCGCGTCTGTGGGCAACGCGAGCACCATCGCGAGTTCCTTCGTCCCTGCTGGACGCCCCAAGAGCCAGGGAGAGAAACGCGCCGCGGAACACCCGTCTCATAGCTGACAACGGGAGCCGGGCCGACGGCAGGGCGCGCCGGATCCACCTCCCGGCTCTGTTCTTCAGGAAGGGAGGCGCTCCTCTTCCCTCCCCCCGCCCCCGGGCTGGTTTCGAGATTCTCCTCCCAATCTTCGGCGTCCAGTAGCTGGGCCACACTGCCTCTGCGGGACGTGGCTGGTCCTCGGGAGCTGCTGCACTGCCCTGACGAGTGTCGGGCACCCCCCCCCCCCCCCCCGCCATCTGCGGCCACTCCAGCCGTCGCTTCCACCCTCCAAGGGAGACTGTCACCTGCCCGGCTCTCAGGTTCGGGTTTTAGCACTTCCACCTCATCACTGCTTTCCGGGCGCGCCTCTCCTTGTGCTCAATGACGGCACCTCCGGCCGAGGCGGGGCTGCCTGTGCGGGCCGCCTTCGGAGGAGGGTCCGAGCTATTTCCCGGCATCCCCCGACGCGGGAGACTGCACGCGAGCTCGGAAGGCTCCCTTCTCCCTGACGGACACCAGCCCGCTCCGGCGAGCTCTCCTAGACGGGTCTCTTCTGTGGCGTCGCAACTGGGGGACGGTGGGGGAGGGGGAGTGTCAGAGACTTGAGGGCAATCTACAGGCAGACCTTGGGATTTCCCGCCTGGCTGCATCCATCTGGCCTGGGATCTGCCTCCTTCCTGCGGCCGCTCTGGGCGTCCCCGTCCCCGCCCTCCAACGCCTCACGCCGGGCGCCGCCGCCAGTGCTGCACCGTCTGGGGGCATCAGAGAAGCGGGGGGTCCTCCACCGAGCCCGCCCAGGCCGCACGGGCTGCCTGTCTCGGGTGTGCGTCCCGAGTTGATCAAGGAGACCGTTGTCTGAGGGGGGCTGGCCCGAAATAAATCACGCTGCCATCGCTGGCGTGGAAACTCTTTCCACGCTGGTTCGGGGTGAAGGAGGCTGACAGCTAATAATAAAGAGGATCTCAGGCTGCAGCACATCCCGGCTGCAAAGACGGCTCGAGAGCTGCGCTCAGAAAACGCTTTCCTCTCTGGCAAGGTCGCGGGTATGTTTCCTTGCTTGTGGATGTTCCCTCTGTTGCAACTGCTGACTCTAACACACACACACACACACACACACACACATACATACACACACACACACACACGCGCGCGCGCGTCTCCAGCAGAACGCTGGTCACCAACCGGGTAATTGGCTGGGTCTGACCTGCGGCCAACACTCAGCCCCAGTTCTAGAAGAATCGAAGCCACAGCACACTGACCACAGGTGCAGGGCTGCTATTTGGGAGGATTCTGTGAGGAGGGAAGCATCTTCCTGGCGGGCACCTGTCCGAGCGGTGCAGTGGGGGGGGGGGGCGCCCGGGTGACAGGTGGGAGCGAGGCGCCCACGCAGAGTTCATGCAGGACAGCAAGGAAAAAGAAACAGAGGCCCGGCAAAGGTTCACTCTCAAGAAAACAAATATCAAATGACGAGCAAGTTTCATTTGATGTGACAAGTGAGAAAAGGGAAGATTATTACTGCATCCCTGAGCTCGCTTCCCGCGGGAGGCCGCGACGAAGGGCGATCAATGGCCTGCGTCGTTCTCAGCTCACCCGAAGCCCCCCGGCCAGCATGCCCCCGCCTCACAGACCTCCCCCTCTGCACCATGGCCCCCTCTCCACTCAGGGCTGCGAGCCCTCCACCCCAGTGGCTTCGGGGGCCGTTCATTCAAGAACTTCTCCAAAAGTCACTTTTCCTGACTTAATGACACCTGGCCTGTGAGCAAGACTGTCCTAGCAACTGAGTCTCTGATTTTTCCGTCACTGGGGATCGATCCCAGGGTCTCACACATGCAAGGCAAGGGGTCCGCCGGGTCGGTCAGAGCGATGGAGAGCAACCGCCGCGTGGGGCCAACGAGGAGGCTGTGCGAGCGGTGGGTCCAACAAGGGGGGCACGTCCCCGAGGCCTGTCCCGTGAGGACTGTCCCGAACCAGCCAGGGCGGAGTCAGAGGCGCGCAGAGCCAGCCCGGGGGCTTCCCACTGTGTCAGAGCAGTGGCCGGCACCAAGGACTGAGCACAGCCAGGAGGGAGCCCACCGCCTCACAAAACACAGGCCAGTAAGGACCCAGGAGCCGGGTGAGGGCCCTGCAGGATGGACGCAGCCTGGACCAAGGCACAGAAAGAAGGCCGCGTGACGCAGCTGAGGTCTTCAGGGACAGAGTGTTCGTCAAGGCAGCAGACAGGATGAGGGACAACCTGGGGTGGGTTGGGGGTCCCGGGGGAAACGGAGCGAGGCTGCGGGGGAGGCTCCCTCGGCGGGCGGGAGGGGCCGCAGCGGGGACAGCGCGGAGAGGCTCCAGATCAGGCGGGGGAAGCCAGAGCGCAGCCTCGGGGGGCGGGGGCGTCAGCCAAGACCCCTCCACGGCCAGGCCCGAGACCGGGGATGGGGCGTGCAGGAGAGCTCCGAGGGCAGAGACGAGCGTTGGAGCTGCATAGAGATGACGGGCGGGAGGGGGCAGGGGAGCAGTTCCAGGCGCGTCTCGGGGGTCCTCTGCCAGCGCGTCGGCGGTGTGTGGTTCGCGGGCGGACACGCGGCTTTCCTTAACCACTGTGACACTCCCGGACAGGCGTCTGGCCGGGCAGCGCGCGGCCAGAGCACGAAGTCACCAGATGCTGGCCGTCCCCGCCGGGGCCGTGCCGGGCACGCGGCCCACCTCGCTGACACGCCTGCTAAGCGAGCGTGCCTCAGGCAGGGGCCGGGCGGATCTGCATCGGAGAGCACGGCTCCCCGCGCGGAATCAATTAGAAGTGGGCGACGCGAAGAGAGAAGCGGCTAATTACAAGATGGAACAGAATCCTGCTATTATGGGCGCACGAGGGAGAGGCAGAGGCCTTCTGTTTGTCTTCTTTTATGTCCCAGGAAAAAAGAGGTATTATCCATCACACAGCAAAGCAGGATAAGCGCGGATTCAAAGCGAACGGGCTCTCCATTGTGGCAGGGGTCTTTCGGGGCGAGTCTCCCGCACCGCCAAGCACGCGGGAGGGAAAGTGGGCCTCGATTCAGCGGAAGGGCGCACACATGGCCGGGGTGAAGAGCAAAACAAGGCCCCAGCTAATAGGACAAACAACCGCCGGCTGTGCGCTACGACGCATTCAGCGCGTCCGCGGGATGGTGGGCAAAGGTCTAATTGCCCCACGCTCTATTCTAAACACACAACACGGGGGGGAGGGGGCGGGGGCCTCCGCGGTGGAGCAGATAAGGCAGGGATGCGGGGTGACACCCAGTGTCGAAAACGGGCAAGAAACGCGGCGCCAACATCAGCCTTCAGAGAGGTGCGAATGTCCGTCCCCAGAGGACAGCGGCGGCTCGTGTGGCTGGCCCCGGCCGTCAGCATCCCCCGAGCGGCCTCCAGGCTGTCTGAGATGAGCCCCGCCAGACTCCCGATTCCTCGGCTGCACCGGAAGAGCTCAGGGAGCCCGAGCACCATCGGGCTCCGCGGGCCCTGCTGGCAAACCACATCCAACTGACACACCTCGACAGGGACACGGACCTGGGCCCCGGGGGGAGCGGGCCACATCGTGGGTGCCCTACCTGACACGGGTGGCCTCCACCCGGCTCTCCGCGGGCAAGAGAGCCAGCAGGCGTTTCCTGAGCGCCTACTGCAGGCTCTGTGCAGGGCAGCCACTCCACTCAAACCTCAAACTTCCTCTTCTGTCAAGTCCCCACTTAGCTTTGAGCAGGCGAGACGCTGATGGGGGCGGGGGCGAGGACTTGCCTCGGAAGAGCACGGGGGAGGCTAGAGGGCGACTTACTCGTTCTTGTCCGGCTGTGTCCCAAATGAGAAATTTGTGGAGCTCGTGTTGGTACTGGACGGTCTTGGTCATGAAAGATGCCCTGGAGAGAGAGATCTAAGTGGTCAGTCCGTCATCTCCAGCCCTGTGCCAGCCCGGCTCACACCCCCGCACTCACTCCAGGCCTCTCCGGGCACCAACGCGGCTCTGCGCAGGCCGCTGGCTCTGGGACCCGGGGAAGCGTTAGGTACGTCTGGACAGTGAAGGAGAATTTCCTTTGGGGGCTGTGACCGCCCAACTTCTGAATCGCTAGAGCCAGGAGGTACGCTGGGTCCCAGGCATCCGCCTCCCTTGTAAACTACACAAGCAGGTCGTTAAAAGCTGGTGCCTTCAAACACTTGTGAGAAATACCCAAACACACCACCATAACGAGCCAAACAGGAGCGAGGATAACCCCAGAGTTAACAAAACACAGTCGCCGCTCGAGAAGCAAGGCCGCCAGCCGAGGGACAGCGCCCTTGGCAGCCCCTGTAGCGCAAGGCTGGCACCAGCCCCGCACACAGAGGAAGGCAGGCTTGCGGGGCCCCCCAGGGATGGCACCAGACTGAAAACCCCGCACTCGAGAGAGCCCCGCCGGCCCGGCCCCCCTCCCCCTCTCACGAGACCCCTCGGTGCCAGAGTCGACTGTGCCTTCTTCCCTGCTGGGGAGGGAACAGGCCGCGTGCGTGGGGCCAGGCTCGGAGACGGGGACGCACATCCTGGCCACCACCATCCGGACAACGCAATGCAGTCGGGTGGCGAGTCTGAACGGGGGCTGGGGAGAGCCGTGGCTGTGTTGCGTGGCGGGGGGCTGGGCTTGAGCCCCAGCACCGCACAGTTCCCTGAGGGCGGGTGGGTGTGACTGCTGACACTGAGCACCTCCAGGTGTGACCCCCCCCCCCCCCCCCGCAAACAAACGAAAGCAAACAAAACCGATGGACGGGCTCTCTGCGTGATCACGAAGCCCTGTTTAGAAAGCTCAGAAATGGGACCGATGACCTCCGAGCTGCACTGACTCGAGCCGGGGTGCGGGGAGGAGGCGGGTCCCGCTGACGGGCCGGGGGCCTCAGCAGATGTTCAGTCGCCGGGGATTTATCTCCCGTCCCCTCAGCAAAGTGCTTCGCGCGCAGAAGGTGCTCTGCAAATGGTTCTGGTTATCGGATCAAGGGCTTCTGGTGACTCACCGTGATTAAATCAGGACGCACGCCATGATTTCCCACTTAGGGGAGAGCGGAGCCTTCGCAGAGCCGTGTTTACTGGGGGGCCTGGGCGGCGGGACGGGGGCGGAAGCGCGGTGTAAATCGTGCCGCGCTAGACCTGCACCAGGTATTATCGCTATTACCCAGAGGCGGCTCGGCAAAGGCGTGCGTCCAGGCCTCGCAATTAGTCCTAAAAGCTCGCGCCGCTGCCTCATCAATCACGCGCGGTGCTCGGCTGCAGCGGGCACCAGGCGTCCAGCAGAGGCATTAACGGGGCCGCGCGGCCAACAAATGCATCTCGTCCGATCGGAGGACAGGAGATGAAATATGCTCCCAGCAGAGAAAAAGCGGAGAAAGGGACAGGCGATAATTAAAAGGCAAACTTTCATCAGAGGCTCAGAAATCACGGAGTCGGAGCTGCCCCCGGCCAGTTCCCTTCTGGCGGGGGCAGAGCCCCCTCCCCGACAGGAGCGGGAAAGACGGGACGGGGCCGAGGCGGGACGCACGCCTCCAAGGAGGGACCCCAGGCCGCCCGTCCACCTGCGCCCGCCCCCACTCGCCGCGCAGCCCTTCCTCTCCGACCAGGGCTGCTGGCCACACCCTCGCCTCAGTCTCCGTCGGTGCTCGGTGGCTTCTGTCGGGCCCCTTGGTGGCGGGCGTCACCCTCTTCGCCGCCGGTTCCTTGGGAAGCCCTCCGGGACGGACCACCAGGAACCCCAAGCAGCCTCTCGCCCCCGCTTCCCGGAGATGGGGGTGCCCGTGGGCGGGAGGACAGTCCAGGTGACGTGGACCCGCGCGGCCCGTCATCTGCCGCGGGGTCTGCCCCGAGGAGGCCTCTCCGCCGTCAGCAAGGACTCCACGTTCTCCCACGCCCGTCCAGCTCCACATACTACGGCCACCCTCCCTTTCCGGGGAGCAGCGAGTGTGCTGCTGTCCGCTGGGAGAAGACACTTACAGAAACTTGAAGTCCCCGGCAGGTCCCCCAGCCCAAACCCCAACTTGAAGCGAGGCCAATTCCGCGCGCGCCAGCTGCGCCGCCCCTCCGCCTGCTCCCCCTGCGCCTCCCGGCGGCACCTGCGCCTCAGCCCGCAGGTGAGCGGGCAAGTCCCGGCCCCCCCCCCCCCCCCCGTGCTCCATCACTTCTGTCTCCATCCCTCCTTACTCTGCGCCGTGGCTCCCCCACTTATGCACTTTTTCCCTCGTACATCCTGGGGACCCCCGGGGACCCCGGCTGAGAAAGCTGCTCGCGGTCTTTACGCCGTCGCCAGCGAGCCCAGAGGCCCGCCGATCCCCCCCCCCCCGCCATCTGCCGCTCGCGTCAGCCCCCGCTTCGGGGACGGCACCTGCCACCACGTCTAGTGAGCGCCGGCCCGGGATGTTTCAGACACGCGCCACGCTGAGCAACGGGAGCGTGAGGAGCTGTCGCTGTCCTGCCCCTCGCCACGCGCAGAGCGCCCGGCCGTCTCCTCCCTGGGACCCCCGGGCTGGGGCTCCGTGCTCCTTCCTTCCTGCCCACGCTGCTCCAGCCCCGGCCAGGTCCCTCGCTCCCAGGTGAAGTGTGGGCACCAGCACAGCGCCCGTGTCCTCGCGTCCCTCGGATGGCTGCTGGGCCGTGCCCACTCTCCCGTCGCCCCGCTTTCCTGCCACGCAGGGCCGCCAGCAGCCGTGTTCGCCCCACGCCCGCTGCCAAGCGCCCCGCGGAGCGCGGCACTTGCCGTCCAGAGCAGGGCCCAGTTCGGGAGGCCTGTCTGGGTCGTCGGCCTGATTTAATCGACGCTTGAACCTCAACCTCGGAAATAAATTCATGAACTGGGCCCTAATCTCGGAGTGGGCCCGGGACAATTCTCCCTCCCACTGTCACTCCAACTCCGGAATCACTCCTTTATGTTCGAGTTAAATGATGTGGAGGGGATGATAACTGAGTATCTTGCTTTCTGAAAACCCGGCGAGGGCTTCCTGCCATCCAAATGATACATTTTTATTTTCCAGGCTGCCATTTACTTGTCTGATAACCTGATTTTTCACCACTAAACCGCCTCTCTTCACTCTGCCTAGGCAGATCTTATTACCTCTTTAATCTAAAACCCCTACTAGCATTATTTCCTAAAGCCGGAATGCCTTTCATATACTTCTCCATTTTTCATGACATTCTAAAAAGATGCCTTTCACGCAAACCAAGCAGCCCGCTCTCCGGGCAGAGGACGTGTCCCCCATGAGAATGCCCGCTCCGAGGGGTCAGCGCTCTTCTCTGCCGGAGCCTCGCCGGTCACGGGCGGCCTGGGGGTGCGCGCCGCACCCCCGGTCCCCTTCGAAAAGGCTGCCACCCCGGGAGGGCGAACGACACGCCAGCTGAAAAATTAATGAAGGACGTCCGGCCTCGGCCCGACGTGCCGCTGGAAACTCGGCCGCCCACGCTGTGATCTGGACGCGGGATCAAAGGCACGGGCCCTCCCTGGGCCGCCGCGACGGGCAGGCGAGGGGCCCTTCAGGAGAAGGGGGACGCGGGGCAGGGCCGAGAAGCTGGGGAAGATGCTGCTCTACGCTGCGGCGGCCTCGGGGAACACACCGAGCCCCCCAGAGCCCGCCGCGGCCCTGAGCCCCACTCAGGCGTTTCTCCAAGCCCTTCCAGGAAACTCTCCCCTCTCCCCCGCCACTAGAATCTCAGGGTTCACCCGGCACCATCTCTGCCCCCTGACCAGAGGACCACACAACAGACACGACGTCCGCAGATGCCCCGTTACCCCAAGTGAATCCTTAAGCACAGGCTCTACACGCTTGTTATTCTCAAAACTTAGAAAACCTTTCTTTAAAGGTCAAGAAAATGACATTTGCTAACAGAGTTCGGCCTTTTCCTGTCTGTCAAAAATAACTTACGTAACAGACAACTTTCTATGTCCTGACAGCCGTCGGCGTGGAACAGTGATGAATTCCACGGTCCCGACTGCCCCTTCCCCAGCGGGACACTCCTCTCCGACCATGACACGCATGAGCCCTGTCACTCCTGACTGCGAGGGTCTGGCTTGGGCCTGACGCCTCACCCTCCTTCTGCAGACGAGACAGAGGGCCAGAGCCAAGGGGGCCCGCCGTTCAGTCCCAGGCCTGTCCCTGGACGCACAGCGCCGCACAGCTGTCACAGACAGGGCCCCCAACCCCTCCGGACTCAGGCCCAGCAGGGGAGGGGGGCTGCCCGTCGCGGCTCACGGCGGCAGGGCCGTGGGCACCCTCACCCCTCAGGCTTCTGCCACCTCTGTGGGATCTTACAGACGGGATGAAGCAATTAAGCGTAAAACAAGGAGAGGGTCCTGGGTGGCCGAGGGCCCGATATCATCACCAGGGTCCCCAGAGGCGGCTCAGGAGTCTGGGAAGGCAGGAGCGGTGGAAAGGGCCACAAGGCCAAGTGGCCAGCAAGAACCACGAAAGGGCAGGCAGGCAGCCCCGGGAAAGATGGGGCAGGGCGGTGAGAGCGCGGGAGGCCCCTGGTGGGCTGTGGCCTGGCCCGGGCGGGGGGTACAGCAACGAGCAGCCGGGCACGCGCCGGTGCGGCCGCGGGTGGCCTGAGTTATTCCAGTCATTTCCCAACCGTAATTGTGCTCATTAATTTTCTGAGTAGGTGAGACACTCACACGCTCCATTACCCCGAATGCACGAAACAGGTATCTGTCAGCCTCCCCGCCCCGCGCCCTGCTCCCGGGGAGGCGAGGCAAGGCGAGGCGACGTGAGGCGGCGGCCAGGGCGAGCGCAGGGAGGCAGCGCCCAGCCCGTCTCCAGGGCTCGTGGTCCTGGGCGAGTGAGGCGCGGGGGCCCGGCCCTTCCCTCCTCCACTCTGCAGCCCGCTCTGCTCTGGACACCCGAGTGGCCCTGCCCA